TAGCCCGTCCGAGCTGAAAGTTGCAGCCGTTTTAGAGTATCGTCGTCCCACCACAAAGTCGGAATTGAGGGCATTTTGGGACTGGCGGGGTATTATCAACACTACGTCAAAGGTTACTCAAACCTCGCTAGTCCGCTGACGGACTCTCTCCGCAAAACCGAGCCCACCGTCATTTCGTGGGACACAAGAAAAGAGAATGCTTTCAAGAGCCTCAAGAGCGCTCTCGCAAAACGACCCGTGCTAGCAGCGCCGGACTTTTCTCAGAGTTTTTATTCAGTTTGATGCCAGTGACCGCGGCCTAGGAGCAGTTTTGTGCCAAAAGGACGTCGAAGGGCACGAGCGGCCAGTATTGTATCTCAGCAGAAAGCTCAGTGTCAGAGAGGAAGCTTACAGCACTTCAGAAAAAGAGTGCGCCTGCCTGTTTGGGCAATTGGTAAGCTAGCATGTTACGTCTCAGGGTAGAGCTTCATAGTAGAAACTGATCACCCCTTGACTTGGTTGCACAACATGTCGTCTAAAAGCGGTCGCTTACTTAGGTAGAGCTTGACGCTTCAGCACCATAACTTTAGTGTGCGCTATAAGAAAGGGAAGCTGCACACAAATGCAGATGGTCTCAGCAAGCTATTGAAGTGCAGCCCAGCTCCCTCATACAAGTTGAGGCACATCCTTCTGGTTTGACGTGTTTTGCATACTTTTGGTGTCTCTTCTTTCGTTTTTTTAAACTGTATCAACAATGTCGCATTGCACTAACAGATGTATTTTGTTTGAAGTGTACTCTGATATGTTAGCAGGAAGGCCAGCCTCTACCATTCTAGTAAAATTGATCAAAAAATTGCACAAACTTGTTTTTTAGGCAGCTTCAGCGGGTTTCGACCTACTCGTATGGCATTGAGGATAGTTTTGCGTGGCCGTTCTTGGCATCGGGACTGCGCAGTGTAATCACAGCATTCGTGAGAGCCAGTGTTTGAGGTCTCTAAGGGATACGTTTCTGGTGCTAAAACGTACAATAGTAGAGAGTCAATAGATCTTTGCTGCCTTGGTCTGGCGCTATGAGAGACGTTCAGAGGGTGCTTGCTTCCACGAAAGCAGTTTGGCTTTGTGTTCGACTCCGTCGTTCCAGTGATTCCCTGCAGGGCTCTGAAGATCACCACGGAGTGGCTACAGTATCGACGGTCAACCAGCATCCCTCCTTCCGAGCCGCCCTAGATGGCTCAAAACTCCGGATGCATTGTCTGGCGGCAGGGGTGCTGTTTTGCCACAGACATTTTCCTCGTTCGGGAACACGTCTCACGAAATCGAGCGCTGTTCCGACGAACTGTCTCCCCCTCCCAGCGCTGCCTTCCGTGCAGAAGAACCGTGCAGTTCCGGGGATAACGTCGCTTCCTCCACCGAACCACCTTGCAGTTCCGGGTATGGCTACGTCTTCCCCTCCGAGCCCGAGAACTGGTCTGAGAGAATGGACCAAAGACGTTATTTAAGGCCGTGCCGGTCCTATGTTTGAGAGGATTTGCCCCAGCTGACGTTGTCGTGCTGGCCGGCTCTGAAAAAAAACGACAACCTGCTACAGTAAACGCTCCTTCTTGTTGCTGTTTTCAAAACGGATTGCCTCCCTGCTTCGCCTTCGGGCAGAGGCTTCAGCGACGTCCGCTCGACGGCTCGCCGCTCTTCACCACCGCTGCCATCGCGACACAGCAAATTCCTAACAGTAGCCAGCTTTAATGCTAGTAAGATGTTTCCTAACTTGCTGTGCACCCATTGCGAGGTTTTAACGGAATATGCGCCGTAACGTGTGTGCCTTTTCTAATGGGTGGCTGGCTTTCAACCACGAAGTCGTAATGGTAATCACATGTTCGGACCCCCGATCGCTTGTACCACGCAAAATTACTGCGATATTGCATGTTGTATTGCGAGGCTTGTGAAGCCTGCACACAATACGCGTGTGTTTGTAAAGCATGAAAGCTATTTTCACTGCATTTCCCAGAGGAGACAGTTATTTTGGCTTTATTTCCAAGCAGATGAGTGTCCAAGCAAAAAAACAGCTGCTCGCCACGCAAACAGCTTGGGTTCGATCCTCACTCGGACACGGAACATAGAGGCGAAGCAGCTAATGGCGAAGCTCAATGCAGTGTGCGTAACCTTCCTTACTGCGCATGTGCAACAGCTGGCCCAGGCACTGCCAGAACGCGCTCACGCGCTAGCGCGTAAGGGGCTGGGTAAGACTCTGTGGCCTTTCCCCGCTACACTCTCTCAGCAATCATGTGATGGCGTTGGGAAACGAGATTCTGCAGCCCCTCCACGGTGGTTTAGTGGCTAAGGTACTCGGCTGCTGACCCGCAGGTTGCGGGATCAAATCCCGGCTGCAGCGCCTGCATTTTCCATGGAAGTGAAAATGCTGTAAGCCCGTGTGCTCAGATTTGGGTGCACGTTAAAGAACCCCAGGTGGTCAAAATTTGTGGAGCCCTCCAATACGGCGTCTCTCATAATCATACGTTGGCTTTGGGACGTTAAACCCCACATATCAATCAACCATCAAACAAGATTCTGTAGAGGCACCATAAACCAACGCGTTGTATACTCTAATCAGAACGCACAGGCGCGCATTAGGGTGTTCAGGTTCGGGCCTGCGTAAGTGACTGTGTCCTCCCCCTCGTACACTCTCTCGGCAATCACGTGATGGCATCGGGGAACGGGAATCTCCAGACGTGCGATGAAACTACCTTGAATTCATGGTGTGGTCCAGTAACATGGGACAATTAAGATGCTCGTGATGAACAGAACTTGAAGTCGACCTATGCGTTGCTTCGCATCCTACTTACGGTTCCCTTTATTAGGAGGCGTAATTTTTACTACTTATTTTTCGAATCTTGCTCGAAGTTTTGGGAAAAAGCCGGGCGTTACCCCAGCCTCCCAGTGGGTCGCACCCACGTTGGAACAAGCACGGAACTGCCCGCGGCATCATGGCTCCTTCGTTTGCCCGAAACTGACGGTGGCGCTCCATACTTTTGATGGAGGAATAAAAGCCCTATCTTGGGAGGATTTGCGTCTTAAGTTTCTTGGGTACGTGGGTACGTGAGGGCCAACCCACATCATGGGCACAAATGTGCACACACACACACACACACACACACACACCACACCACACACACACACACACAAACCACACACACACACACGCACACACACACACACACACACACACACACGCACACACACACACACATTCCGGGAAGTCACGAGATACATCCGTTTTTAGACTTTAGCTATGCAGGGGCAAACCTCTATATTACACGTGTGAGCGTGATTTTCTGTCCTCTGATAAGATGCGAATGGGGTGCAGGAAAGGCCGTACGACACAAACGATAAAGTGGAGTGACTTTATTGTATATAGTGGTATCGTCCCGCGACCCTCGATGTCAGAGACAATGGGCGATGTCAAAGACGACGATGGGGTAAGGCATCGCCCTGGTAAATTCAAGAACTCGTTAAAGGGGCCCTGAAACACTTTTTTGAGTAACCATGGTAATGATTCCCTCGAAAAGCGTATTGCCTCACAAATTCAACGCCACAAACTTTTAAGCATCCGACCGGTACGGACGGAGTTACGAAGATATGTCACACGCTGCAATCGCATTCTCTCTTTTCTCGTCCCGACGAAAGCACTGGAAGCTAATCAGAGAGGGATGGGAGGAGCAAACAAAAAACGTCACGCGTGCCTCGTGACCTTGGGTAGTTCTTTTTTTTTCTTCGAATACGCGGCCTTGCTGCATCGCCATGTTTTGTTGACAACATACTATTGATCGGCTGACTGAAGATGAGGTGAACAGCAGAGATGAAGGGAATGCGGGCTCAAGAACTTAAAAAGCGCTTTTATAGCTATTAGGTGAACTCGGACGATAAAACAAGTCGAGGTATAGTATTGAATGGATGGTCAAGACTTTGAATACACATGTAGCTGAAAATTTTTGAAAAGCGTTTCACGACCCCTTTAATACTTTATCCTTTGTTCACATGTTTTCAATCAATAAGTGGAAGTACTTAATGGATCATGTTTGATTGACTTCCAAATACCTGGTATAAAAATCTGATTACGAATGAGTTAAGAACGTGCACGTTGACTACCCGTTTGAATAGCATATATATGATGCAAGTTGCCATCACAAGACAGCCTGGACAAAACTAAGATTACAAAATTCCAAATAAATGTAAAACACCTTGGAGGGCCAGTAAACAGGCTCGAACTTTTTTTTTACAGTGACCCATGGTGAACACAATTTGCGAATATTACAGACCTACACGCCTCACATACCCTCCATTGCAAAAAACCATTTTTACGCCTCTTTCCTATGGCTATCTAATCCTCCTCATACCCACAGTGACAAAATCTTGCCTATGGACGTTTCGTACCCCTGAGCTCATCCATCCGTCTCTTGCACAACAAAAGGGCACTTTGGCTTTACCTTGATGTAGTCTTGGCCATGAAGACTGCATTTTAATTTCTTACCCTGCCCTATGCCACTGTGTAGAACTCTGAGACTACAGGAACAAGCGTTTACATTTTACAAAACAAAAGCCTCGAAATGAAGAGGCATCTTGCTACTTTACCGCTAGGGGAAAGGTACATGCCTCCCCAGTGCCTGGTACTCCTCGCACCGTGACGACACATGCGCACGTGGAGGAAGCCTTGTTCAGTCATTGGTGGTGCGCCAATGACATAATTGCAGACGTTGTGTTATGTTGATGACGTGGGTGTTGTCACGACAAATGGCTATGCCTACCTATCTACACAGCGAGAAAAGGGGGCGAAGGACAAGCAAAAAAACATAACCAGCTGAAGTGGGTCGTTCTAGACCCTGTAACTTCCTTTTTTCAGCACTTATTTGCAAAGTTATTGCGGCAGCATTTTCCAATAGTTCAAATGTGCAGTTATTTCTCCAATAGAAATTTTGGACCTAGGGTTGTTTACTGGACCTTTAAACTATGTATCACACACACTTTCCTACCTCTTCCCTCCTGGGCTGCCCTTTTACAGCAAAGGTTGACATGCTGAAACATAGAAAAAAAAGGAGGGGGGATCATTTTTGTAGCTGTAGCAATACACCAACAGCAAATGCATCTGCTAGCAAGTGATTCAACCATTAGTAAATGTTGTAAAATAGTCCAGCACGTGCGTGCGGGACTAATTTACAATATTCACCAATGGTTGAATGCACACGTGTAAACACACAGGCATACACACAGGGTGCCCTACCTATTTTTAGCAAATGTTTAATAATGTGACAAGTCACTCTATGACGACGCCGCAAAATTCATGTTCCTTACTACTGCATGCAGTAAGTAACAGTTTATTGTTTCCCACTTCATTGCCTAATTAGGCACATTTAATTAAACTTTTGAAGCAATCAAACTAATAAAGATGCTATGCATAAAGTTGAACATCTGTTTGCAAAATGTCCTAATAAACAGTTTATCACTTTATATCTGTGAATTATTATTGTTTTTCTGCTTACTACAGATGTCCATGCAATACAAAAACATAGCACGTGACATGCCCACTTATGCACCTAGGTGCACCGTGATCGCAGAGCTCGCGAACATTCTGCATGAAAACAATATGCTTCTCTCGCGATTATTTAAGACAGTGATAAGCAGACACTGTAGTTACTGCTTGTGTTGCCACTAGCAAAATACGCATCATCACACAGTCAACATAATCGTCACTGTCTTGTCAAAGCAGCGCACCTGGCCAAGTGCTATCGTTTGCATGCCGGACGTTAGAGAGCACTTCACTTACGGCATGCATAAACGTGCAAGTGGGCTTGTCACGTGAGCTTTTAAGTGCGATGCATTTTAGGGTGCCAGGCTGTTGTATGCTGTAATCATATGTTGTCGTCATCAATTGGCATAACACAGACAAAACCACATATAGCACAGCCAGCTGTAGCATATTGACTGCGCGCTCACACCAAAGAGAAATATTTTTCTTCTTGTTCTTTGAGCGCCTTGATGATGATATTAACTGCAGAGCAATTGAGCAGCCCGGCCTGTCGAATGCTGTCGTCGCTTGGCGTAGTACAGGCAAAACCACGCATAAGCTGAAGCAAGCGAGAAATGGGGACAGAAAAAAAGCAATAGAAAAAATAGAAATAAAGTAGAAATATACAAGAAAAACTGAAAAGAAGAGCAATAAGGAAAAATAAAACTGCAACTAAATGAACAAGGCCGCCCAGCTTCGCACTTTTTTCTGTCTTGGCACCACTAGGGCAAAGCTGCCTTAACTTGTCTTTAGCATTTCATGAAATTCTGTAGTAAGCAAAAATAAATAAATACAATACACAACAGATATAAAGTTAGAAACTGTGTAATAGGATGCTTTGCAAGTCAATGTACAACCTTCTCATTGGAATTTTTCACCCAGCTTTGCTGCCAGAAAATTAAATTAGTTAATTAAAATGCCTAATTATACAGAAACATATATATATATATATATGGGATATGGCACAACGGGAGCGTTGTCAACAAGGATAAATATATTTATTACCCAACAGTTTCGGGAGGGGTCCTCTTTTCATCAGGGGATGAGTTATACTAACATGAACTTCCAAACTTCGTTGCTGCCGCATCCCTCTTGCCTTGAAAGATGTTTGCGAGAGTGAGAGAGAACTAAAAAAAGAAAGAAAAAAAGAGAAGAAAAAGACGAAAAGAAAAACAAAGAAAAAAAGAAAAAGAAAAAAGAAAGAAAGTAAAAAAGAGGAAGAACCACTGTCAACACTGAGACGAAACCAAATGTCCGTGTACGTCCACATCCGGTGCTTATTCCGTGCTGGTCAGTTCTGGACGATAAGAACCGGATGTGGACGTACACGGAATTTGGTTTCGTTTTCAGTGTTGACAGTGGTTCTTCCTCTTTTTACTTTCTCTTTTTGTTTTTCTTTTTTTTTTCTTTGTTTTCTTTTCGTCTTTTTTCTTCTCTTTTTTTTTTCTTTCTTTCATTCTTTCTTTTTTTAGTTCTCTCTCACTCTCGCAAACATCTTCAAGGCGAGAGGGACGCGGCAGCAACGAAGTTGGAAGTTCATGTTAGTATAATTCATCCCCTGATGAAGGGAGGACCCCTCCCGAAACTGTTGGGAAATAAATATATTTATCCTTGTTGACAACGCTCCCGTTGTGCCATATCCCATACCTTCACAAAGACTAACTGGTCCATTGAATTATTACTCCCACTATATATATAGATATATATTATTATATTATATATATATATATATATATATAATATATATATATCACACACACACATACACACACACACTTCTGGTGGTGGTCTAGCAAGCTGGGCGATTTTGACATACATAGCTAGGGCATTTTCCAGCAAAAACACTACATATGAGTCCGTCTTAAATCTAGTGAAGTACGCTGAACTCCGACCAATGCTCAAGTGGACAGTAAAAAATAATCAGTTTATTTACGCTGCCGCTGAAGCGATGGTACAATGGACTGAATGAGGCTGGTAGTGTTTTTGAAGTAGCTAATTACTTTTAGAGGCAATGCTGGTAGTTAAGTTTTCCTGTATAATGAGGCATAAAACAGCATCACGATGACTGCAAAAGGATGTTTGCAATGTTTCTTTGCTTTGTTACAACCCAAGAAAAGCATGTAAGCTCCTCTCACAGAAATGACATGCAACTTCCCTTCACTTTCAAAAGACAGTCATGCTAGCTTGGCTAATATAATACTATGCATATTAGGACTTACACATTCTTTGTTATTACATAAAAGAATATGTTTAGCGAAGCAGTAATGCCAGAATCCCTGATGAAATTTGCAGTTCATTCAAATTTCAGACATAAGAACAGTGATGCAAACTTGTGTTGAATGGGAAAGTCAACTATCAACTATGAGAGTAAACTATGATACAACTATGAGACCTGCTTGATGTCATGACAAGAGGTAAACACTATTCAATGGAGAATTTCTTGAAATACTCTTTGTGTCAGGGACAGTGATAGCTGTGGGCAGAGCTGACATTTTTTTTGATTGTAACAGACCTATATTTTGCTAGATTAATAAAAGACATCTTCTGAAAATACGGATCAGTAAAATTTAATGGCTCGACTTTTAAGGCAGGGGTACAGGGAAGTAGGCCAGAAGTAAGTTTGAGGGGTGAAAGTGATTTTGAACTTTCTAGCTACACCACTTTAGGAGACGGTGTACTAAGCTAATCACTTTTGGAGATACTGTCACATGATTTCACATGACCATCGGTAGCACATCTACATGTAAAAACATTTGACACTAATAAACTTGCACCTGCTGAATTTTAGACCGACCCGGTAGACACTGTACTGAATGCCGGTCCATACTCGAGACTGGCCATCACTGGCCATATTTTTGGTCACCTTATCGAAACTATTAAATGCAAAGCATTTATTTGCGTACTGCAAACACTTTTGATGTCTGTCTGCGTCTGTCTGTCTGGCCACCTACGTCTGGGTGCTCTCATGATCGCCCCCTTAACTTGGGGTACACCAAAATTAATACGGGAGGGTAAGATGGTTAGATGAATCCGACTCGTTGGTCATGACATGAATAATGTCACAATCTCGTCACATATATCATCAAACACTTTCCAAGAAAACGCCAGGCCTACGCTGAAGGCGCAGCACAGTCACAGCAAAAGCTAGAAGAGCAGCCTTTCCGAGCCTTTTCAAAACACTCATTGGGTAACTACTGCAAGCACACTTGCTTGATACCCACTAGGGCATTAATAATAAATTTTTTGGGCAGTAGGCCGGCATTTGCTATGCTATTTTTCATCATTCTTTTGAGAAGCATGGTATCCGCTAAACACTTGCAAGAAATTTTGTGCCAATTGTTCATGCAGTAGCTGACGACGATGAGGAATTATGGCTGAAGTGGGTATGCACCACAGTTAATAGGGGAACTAGAACAAGCTTTGTAATGGGTTGGTAATTGTGCAACGACTGGTTGTTCTATCGCTTTTTTCAAACGCTTTATAAGTTTTATTAACACGATTGCTTTCCCAACATCAAGCCTGCCTAAGGCAATTTTGCCAACAAGTCACAAGCACCAGCATGGCTCAGTGGTAGAATACTGGGCTGGTGCTCAGCGGACCCGGGTTCCAGCCGCACTGTGTCATTGGTGCTAAATTTTTTTTTCCAATTTAGTGCAATGTGGTCACAACTGCGCGTGACCCGAATTGTGATCTCATCACAGATTTCGCTGTAAAAACAGTGGCACATACCTGGGGGTGGGTATGTGCCTATAGTATATGGGTATGTGCCACAGGTGATACACATTTTATATCTACTCAGGAACACCGAGCGTCAAGAAAAATCTGCCGTAGGCAGCGTCGACCGGAGGAATGCAAACAATAAATGTCAGTGCCCCAGCAGGAATCGAACCCTAGAATTCTGCATGCAATGAAGTATTCTACCACAGAGCCATGCCAGGCCTCAAGTGTACTTTTCAAATGAACCATAATGTTCGTGTAAGGTCAATTGTGGTTGCAGTACTGGCTATCCAATTTTATAAACATACATATGTACCTATAATACAGCCATCATGTCGGGTAAACGTGAATTTTAGTTAGGCACCATCCGCTGAAGTTGATTTGTGTAGCAGTGTAGCACGCACCAGCACAAACACCAGTGCTTCATATCAGCTTACCGCTTCTGGTGTTGCTAATATCCATTATGCTGTTGAATTCA